CCACATTCCTGTTCCACCACTGGGATGGGGATGGGGGAGCAGGGGCTCCCCTGGGATCCCACATTCCTGAACCACCACTGGGATGGGGATGGGGGAGCAGGGGCTCCCCTGGGATCCCACATTCCTGAACCACCACTGGGATGGGGATGGGGGAGCAGGGGCTCTCTGGGATCCCACATTCCTGAACCAGCACTGGGATGGGGATGGGGGAGCAGGGGCTCTCTGGGACCCCCCCGCTCCTGAACCACCACTGGGATGGGGCAGTGGGGGCTCTCTGGGACCCCCGCACTCCTGAACCACCACTGGGATGGGGCAGCAGGGGCTCTCCTGGGATCCCACATTCCTGTCCCACCACTGGGATGGGGCAGTGGGGGCTCTCCTGGGACCCCACATTCCTGAACCACCACTGGGATGGGGATGGGGCAGCAGGGGCTCTCCTGGGATCCCACATTCCTGAACCACCACTGGGATGGGGCAGTGGGGGCTCTCTGGGACCCCACATTCCTGAACCACCACTGGGATGGGGATGGGGCAGCAGGGGCTCCCCTGGGACCCCCACACTCCTGAACCACCACTGGGATGGGGCAGGAGGGGCTCCCCTGGGACCCCCACGCTCCTCGACCACCACTGGGATGGGGATGGGGGAGCAGGGGCTCCCTGGGACCCCACATTCCTGTCCCATCACTGGGATGGGATGGGTGAGGGGAGGCTCCCCTGGGAACCCACATTCCTGAACCACCACTGGGATGGGGATGGGGGAGCGGGGGCTCTCTGGGACCCCACATTCCTGTCCCACCACTGGGATGGGGCAGCAGGGGCTCCCCTGGGACCCCCACGCTCCTGAACCACCACTGGGATGGGGATGGGGGAGCAGGGGCTCCCCTGGGACCCCACATTCCTGAACCACCACTGGGATGGGGCAGGAGGGGCTCTCCTGGGATCCCACACTCCTGTCCCACCACTGGGATGGGGATGGGGGAGCAGGGGCTCTCTGGGACCCCACATTCCTGTCCCATCACTGGGATGGGATGGGTGAGGGGAGGCTCCCCTGGGAACCCACATTCCTGAACCACCACTGGGATGAGAATGGGGGAGTGGGGGCTCTCCTGGTACCCCACGTTCCCATTCCACCTGGGACCCCCACACTCCTAAACCACCACTGGGATGAGAATGGGGGAGTGGGGGCTCTCCTGGTACCCCACGTTCCCATTCCACCTGGGACCCCCACACTCCTAAACCACCACTGGGATGAGAATGGGGGAGTGGGGGCTCTCCTGGGACCCC